TGCAATGCCAGTGCTGGTTTTGGCACCTGTTTTAGGCTTGTCCTGCAGCCCCAATTTTAAGAACAACCACAGTTTTGAGACCCTCTTGGCACAGAATTAATGGTTGTGTGGAACCCGTTAGCAGTAGCAAACATTCGGCACGTTCACAGGAGACCAGTTCTTCTAAGAATGATGGACTGAGTTCCCTTTTACCCCTCCGAATAATACAGGCAAATGGATCCTCAGGGCCTAGTGCAGCCTAGAATGAAATATCCAGGCCAGTTTGTGATGGCTAGGAGCCAGCTCCAGTTGTGGTAAAGACGCTGGAAACTTTGACCACGCATTTGTCTTGTGTCATTGATTAAACGTGAGCCACTCGCTGGCCGGTCAGGATAATGAATGACGGTTTTAAGTACAACTGGAAAAACAATAAAATACTCTATTAGGATGACACAGCTGTGCACAATGAACATTAAACAACTTCACAGCTAACAGAGCTGCCGCAGCAACACTTCAACCTGGCGTTTGATCGATTTCTGTTTGGAATACGCCTTGCGAAAGAACTCTCCAACTACCCAAGACAAGAAGGGCTGGGAACCTCTGTCCCTCTCTTAAAAATACAATCACATAAAAGAATCCCTTAAGGTTCATTAATGTCACAGGCAGAGGAGAAGAAGAGAGTTGGAAGGCCTTGAAATACATGTCGGAAAGACTCCAGAGAAAACTAAATGCTGCTGGGATGAACTGCAGGCTCTAGAGGATCAGTCGGGCTGGAATAGTATTTATTTTCCAGTCTATTTTAAACACTGGACTGTTTCAGATAAGAGTTGCCTGGGGTGGCAGACAGGATCGTGGGACTGGTGTGCAGGAACTCATGCCAGATTCATTTCTGGGGAGTATTTCCTCTCTGCCTTGATAAATCTGACTTGTCTGTTGTACCAGGTGACTTCCTTTGGAGTTCTCGCTCCTTATTATTACTTATTAAAATTGCCTGGCCCTGGAAATAGAACTAGGGCTTCATGCAACATCCTGTGCTAACAATTCATCTTTCTTGTTATCTTGACGCTGACAATTCCCACCAGGGCCAGAGGAGGCGGGTGGAAAAGTGTCTTGAGAAGAAACAGAAATGGTCGTCCTTATTGTGAAGCTGGAGAAACTGAACGTGAAAATGGAGGGGGTGGGAGATAAGTGAGACACACACACACACACACACAAAACGCCTCATCTCCCCTCACTCCCCCCGCCCCAATAAAAACCAGGAAAGGGAAGAAAATGTGAAGAAATGAGGTCAGCAGCACCAAGGAACAAACATCTTTATTCACCTAGCTGGCATTGTTGTTCTGTGACTGGCATATGTGTACAAAGGAGGAAGAGAGCCCCCCAGATGACCTGACCTTCGTAAACTTACCCAGTTTGCATAGATGTTATCAAGGAAATCACTCTCAGGTTACAATGCTGTTCAGATGGGGGCTTTTAACTCCCCGGACTTTGTACAAGGTGATTTCAGACCACAATCCTGCATATTCCATAAGCGCTTCTGAATATGACAGAGCAGATGAGGCCTGTCTCAGGGTCACTGGCCTCAGCTCTTTGAAACCTAGCAGCATATCTTTTTATGGGAGGAGGAGAGAGACAGTGTTTCAGTGACCTGGGGCCATAGGGCTGGGAAAATCTTGCAGAAACTGGGCTGCTGGCAAGTTACGGGCTTACTTCTGAGTGTGTGTTAAAAATGGTAATCATGCTGGGAATTCCATGTCTGATATACAAAGGAAACGGTTCTCCTTTTCTCCCCATTCTGGCCATGCAGGGTGTAATTTTGTATATTGGGGCATAGTAAACAGAAGTGCTCCAAGCCCTCACGCTGATTTACCCTCAACTCCTAACCCACTGCCTAGACTGGATCTGTATTTACATGCTACCCCCTCATCTGCTCTATTCAAAACACATGAGGAAAGGTCACTAGCAGTGGCAATGTGCGACTCCCCCAGCCACGGGCTGTTATTGTCAATGCAGTTGGACTTGTATGTAAAAAAATCCACTTTTACCTAGAACTTCACAGTCACCACCATACCAAATGTCATGAACATGTAGGATTTCACGATGGCATCAGGGAGAGACCTCAGCTTCTCCTGCGCCAAAGGCATAAGTCCCTCTCACTTGAATGAAAGGAGAATCATCTTTAACTCTCAGCAGTACAGGGCCTATGACACAGTTTCAGCAATTCTGATTTCATCCAGCAGAGGGCAGTGGTGTACATGCACACTAGCCAGATCATTCCTTTAGTTAGAGGTGGGCCAAAAGCAGAATTTACAATCTGAACCCATTTCAGGGTTGGGGTGGGGGTCACATTGAAAAGCCCAGCTCCAAACCCATTACAGTTTTGGGTCCAGGTTGGGACTTTGAAGGGGGGGGACTATTGTCCAGTTCAAGTCTGGCTGAAAACAGCTGATCATGCAAGATTTCCACCCACTCAAGAGACTTGGGTGTTAAATCTGATCCAAACTGTAGCCACCTTGAATACAAACCCTGAATCTCCACCTGCACCTAATCCAGTTCCAAACAGCCCCTCCCCTCATTGTAACAATCACCTCCCTGAGGCCACTGCTGAAGGATTCAAATGCCAAAACGCCCCTGCGTCCTGTGGGCCCTGGACCACGCTAACATAGAGCAATGCTTCCTGTTCCTGTACAGACCCACGCTCTGAAGACTGCCCTCCCCTTCCCATGTGGGCTTAATCAGAATGCATCTGCTTCCCATTGCAGCAGTTCAGAACAGGTTTCCTCTTGTAGCCTCCTGCTAGGGTGCTAATTTTATATACACAGGCTGAATCTCTCTCCAGATCTATTTGTCAATATGTGCAGCATGGCGTATAAAATACATCTGCATCCAGTGCATCAGGGCCAGTGAGGGGCTAGGGCTGGAGAGATGGGTGGCGGGCGAGCAGATAGAGCCTGAGAAGGGAGGAGAAAGTGGAGGAGAGAAAAGCAAGAGCAGGAGATACTCTCCTATTTCACACTGAGGGTTTGTAAGAAGCTGGAAGCGCCTCCTGCAGACAGTTTGTTCTGGACCAGGAGCTTGGACAAATGCCAGAGACTATTTTCAGAAACCTTGCTCATGGTAACGCCCAAACCTCAACGTAACACTAACCCGTTATTGATGACAAATTCATTTTAACCAGTAATAAACACTGGGGACTTTGCAAGAAGAAGCAACCTCCCTTCCACACAAGCATTGCACTTCATTCCCAGCCCCAGCTGGGCAGTTCAAATAAAGGGTCTTGGCCCCAGCTTACAGATGTAGCTAGTGATTTTGAGTGCCCAGCAAAAGACACTATAAGGGGGGCTGATTTGCTGAAAGTGCAGAGTCTCCGCAAATCAGGGGTCTCATGTTGGGCTCCCTAAACTGAGGGCATCACTAGTCACTTTGGAAAACAGTCCTCGTGACCATTATTTGTTTCTTTCTAATCATAACATTCCTTTCCAAACCCAGTCATTGTTATTTATTTGTATTACCGTAACGCCTGGGGGCCACCCCGGGATCTCTCCCAGCACTTTGAGGCAGGCTTTTCTTTAACAAGTATTTTAACAACATTTTAGAACAGTCGGATCCTTACAACAAATCCACTTGGGCTACATTTGGGTGAGTCCATCTGAAATGTTCCTTGGTTGGCAGCAGCAGTCTCCCCAAGTAACAGAGATGCTCCCCTTCCTGCATGCGTCCTAGACACTTGTCTTCTTAGGCTGTAAGACCAAGAGCCTTAAAGGTATTTAGGTGCTCAGTGGAGCAGGGACCTAGGCACCCTGCATCATGGGATCCCGACCCTCAGAGCTGTGCTAATACCAGTATAAATTTATAACTGTATCAGACTCTGGTGGGGCTTGTTTTCCTACCATCTCATTGTAGCCCCTTTTTGGTGCGATAGCTGACATCCTTTTGCCGGGGGAGCTGCTCCACATATCTACACAAGTAACTTCCATGTGAATCTGGTATTGAGGCTAATACCTGGCTCTAAGCGTCTAGTGTGCTGGGTTCTATTCCTGGCGCTGCTATTGACTCACTATATGACCCTAGACCAGTCTTTTCTGGGCCTCATGTTTCCCATGTGTACAAGTTAGCATTGACAGCAGGGTTGTGAGGCTCCATCTTAAAAGCCCTCTGAGACCCTGTGGGGCATGATGCTCTGGAAGGGCGATGGGTTAGGAGTAGGGTTACTCTCCTGCAATACAAATACGGCGCTGAAGCACAAGAATATATCAAATGAGAAATGCTAGCAGGATTTTCACCAATAAAACATCACACACACACGCATCTGCTAACCATTCCTGCCCACTTCAAAAGCGAGTTGGAAAGGGGCCACGCACTGCATGGAGTCAGTCAGTCGAGTATGGGCCATGTCACTCATGGCTAAGCCCTTCTTGGCATTGATAGTAGATATCCCGCTCAGCTCAGGGGTGGCAGAGCTGGGGGGGTCGGGGCAGTGTGGCTAGCATCCCCACCACAGAAATATTGTAGGGGCTGAGCTCTGTTTCCACCCCTGCAATATTTCCTGTGTATTCGGAGAGGATGCAAGGCGGGGCAGCCCGGGCCCCGGTTCTTCTCCAGCTCAGCCCCGCAGTGCCAGGGAAAAGGGGCACCTGGAGGTGGGGACCGGGCAGAGAACAGGTGACTGGGTGGAGCTGCATCTTTTCAGGGTCAGGGGAAGGGTTGTTTCTGCTCCAGGGCAGGAACCGCTGCCAGTTGTGTAAAAGCAACAGCCAGGGCAGGGGGCTGGGTGAGTCGGATTTGTCCTGTGTACCCCCAAGTTTCACCTCATTTAAAACTACTTGCTTACAAAATCAGACATAAAAATACAAAAGTGACACAGCTCACTAGGACTGAAAAATTGCTTTCTTTCTCCTTGCTACCATATCATTATAAAATAAATCTATTGGAATATAAATATTGTACTTACATTTCAGTGTACAGTATATAGAGCAGTATAAACAAGTCATTGGCTGTATGAAATTTTAGTATGTACTTACTTCGCTAGTGCTTTCTATGTAGCCCGTTGTAAAACTAGGCAAATATCTAGATGAGTTGAAGTATCCTGTGGAAGACCTCTGCGTACCCCTAGGGGTACACGTACCCCTGGTTGAGAACCTCTGCCCTAGTGCAGATATACAACAAGCGCAGCCCTGCAAACTGTTTCACAGAGTGCTCTGGAAGCACTGCATTCAGGTTACACCAAGGAAAAGTGCATGCTGTGTCGCGAGAGCAGAGCTGGGCCTTTCATTAGCAAAGCCAGGCTGCAGGAACAGCTCAGATGAAGCAACAATGCCAAACTCTGTTGAGGAGATCAGTGTACAAGTGCAGGGAAAGCAAGTGAGGATCCAACATAAATATCTGTTTCCTTCCTGTTGTAGAAATTGTTCTGCCTGACAAAGATCTCTTCTGTGTGTGTGCTTTCCCAACAGAACAGCCTCAAAGACTCCAGCCCAAGGCTCCGATACTGCCACCACCTACGCGTGCTCTTAGATTTTAACATATGAGTAGTGCCATTGAAGTCAATGGAACTACTGAGATGCTTCAAGTTAAGCATGTGATAAATATTCGCAGGCTCAGGGTCTAACAGGGCTTTGATGATAATGGCAACAGAGCTGTGCTGTACACCAGCTAGGGGTCTGGACCACAAATATCAACCATGGGCAAGGATGGAAGCATTGATTTATCTGAAGCAAACCTCACCTTCCAATCCAATGTCTTTGCTGCTACCCATTCTACCTCTGCTGTAAGGGCAATCACCCTATTCCACACACTCTGTAAAGCAGTGTCATTGCCAAGGGCAAGGTCGTTTACCTCATCTCCACTAGCGCATTTTACACCATCCACGATGCCTTTTGTTGCCCGCTGCTAGTGCAGAAAGGTATGGTGGTAACAGACACCCTTGTCTAACTCCATTCACAATATCAAACACTCACTCGGGCCTGTATCCAATCTTATTGCACATCTACTCCCATCATAGAAACTCCTTATTATGTTGATCAGCTTGTCTGGCATCCCATAGCCGCTACCAATATTCCAGCAAAAGCATTTTTAGCGATCTGTCGAAGAGTGAATACCGGTTCACACCATGACCTACCTGGACAGATCCCAGCCTGTTCTTTTCATAATATTTCATCCACACCCTTCTTCGTTCTATTCAGCATAATGGTAGTCAATACTTTTCCCAGGATTTATAGCAGTACAATACCTCTCCAGGTTTTGATGGTAATGCCACAGTGGTGCCATCTTTCCAGGCTCGTGGCACTTGTTCTTTCCACTTCTTCAATTGGGATGAAAGCCAATGCAGAGGAAACCAGGATTACGAAAGTAGGAAAATGAATAACAGATGCAAAGTGTACGTGGATGGAAAAGAAACCAAACAGGTGGAAGAGTTCAGCTGTCTGGGAAGTGTGATGACATTTGAAGGTGGTTGTGATAAGGGTATGCAGATGAGATTAGGAGGAAAAGCAAACACCACTTTTGGAAGGATGAACAACATCTGGTCAAACAGAGGTCTCCGCACCAAATTAAAGGTCAGATTCTACTCTGTGATAGTACTGAATATTCTACTATATGGAGCGGAGACTTGGCCAATGACAGTGGCTAACAGTAAGAGACTGGAGGCTTCCCATCATAGATGGTTGAGGAAGATACTACACAGTTCATGGAAAGACAAAATAACAAATGGAAGAGTAAAGGAGTGGAAGAGCAGAACATTAGAAAATATCGTCAAAGAAAGAAGCCTCAGATGGTTGGGACATACACACCATATGGAAGATGGGAGACAAGCTAAGCAAGCATTGAAATGGGAACCTGAAGGAGAAAAGAGAAAGCCAGGAAGGCCAAGGAAGAATTGTCAGAAGACAGTGACAGACAATATCAAGTGCATTGGCATTATCTGGGAAGAAGTACCACAACTAGCAAGTGTCCATAATCAGTGGACGATGTTCACAATGCCCAATGTGTCACAGCTAAGCTCTAAGATAAGGGTAACACCAATATCCCAGTGCTCCCCTAAGGGTATGTCTATACTTAAAGCTGGGGGTGTGATTCTTGTCTTGAGCAGGCTTACTCACGCTAGCTCTGATGGAGCGAGGGCACTAAAAATAAAGCGTAGCTGGGGCAGTGCAAGCATCTTGAGGGCTGGTCATCTTGAGTATGTACCTAGCATCTCTGATGGGCATACACTTGGGGCAGCTAGTCCCTCCCGCCATTAGCACAGCTGCAGCTACATTAGCACAGGTATGTCTCCTCAAGCTGGAATTTCTGACCGTCAGAGGGGTGAAATATT